GTAGCGACAGTGAGGCACAGTCCCTTGTAAATCTAGGGCTGCTAAATGGAACTAATTAAATCTGACTGTAATGGCTAATTTTCCAGTGGCTGAGGGGGGTGTGTGTATTTGTAGGATTTGTAACCTTTGATTTGTAAGATGAGATGCATCTTTATGTGTTTTGTGCTGCTCAGTTCTGATGGCTGTAGTCAGCAGTTACCCTTGGGACCACTGTTTACGTCTGTTAAACCTATCATTCCGTGTACTAACGATGGCTTATGGAAATGGAGAAGTTTCACAAGTTACTTAAATGCACCTTCTTCTGCCATCAAAGGGACCCTGGGATTTGCAAGACATGCCAAGTTTGTGGAGGGTGTTCATACTCCTCCGGTTCACACGTAACCCTGGGAATTAGTGTCTCAGTGTGAGGTGGAATCCAATAGCTGTAGCCTTTATCTGCACAACTGGTTTGTTCCTAAGGCTTCTGTTTGATGTAGCAGCAGAGAAGGAAAACGCCGTTGAAACCTCGGAGAAAACACCTTCAGTGTTCTTGTTCGTGGAGCAGGTTTTTGTTACTGAGGAGCTGAGCTTTGTCTGAAAGTTGAAGGCTTAAAACGGGAGACTGAAAAAAAGAGAACAGCTAAACCCAGTGAGACTGCCCAGGCCCTACTGACTTGTGTTGCTTTGGCCTCGTGCCTTTGGTTGGAGACAGTACTGAACTTCCAATTACTTTGCCATGGATTGTAAAACTTGCAGTTGGGCGTTCCACCTGCCCAGCAGCCCTCCTGAGGAAAAAGGCATTTCTTAGAAAGTGGAATACCTATAAATGCTCACCAAAAGTCTTCTGCTGTTGAAGTCTTACTAGTCTTGATGTAATCAACTCTACCAATGTGCGTGTTAGAATTTTTTTTGCTTTATGATTGGCTTGAGAGTAATAATCCATTTCATAATGAGTTGAGAGGAGAATAAATCATCACTTTCCCAAATACACTTCTTGTCTTTTAGTTGAGCCTGTTGTCTTTAGCTGAGCCTATTCCTCCTGGGAAACAGAATCTCTTCGCAAAGTGTGGCTTCACTGTCCCCATCCTTTAAATCCGAGGTTAGGATTGTTCATCTTTCTCTGCCTTTCAGAACAAGCGCTTGTTTCAGACTTCTGTACCACCAGTGAAATGGCACATACCTAAAACGTCTCAGAAAAGCTCATCTGCTTCTTCCTGTTCTTTTGCAAATGTCACTTTAGTTGCTTATTTATGTTTACTTCCTTAACGTAATATGTTGTGTTAGTCTGAGCTTCACAGCCCATCTCAGTTCCACTCTGTGCTCCCCCAGCACAGCAGCAGCTTTGCATGTTGTTGAAAAGCTTCCTCCTGAGCACCCTGGTTCTTTGAAGCAAAGCCTTAACCATGGGGGCTGTAACCCACGCTGGAGTGTCAGCGTGCTGCTGCGCTCCCGCTGCTGAAGTTGAACGTTGTGGAAAGGCCCCGTCTTCAGGCAGCGGTACTGCCCTTTTGCACCAAGAGCTGCCTTCGTGTCTCTCCAGGAGCTCGAGTACCTTACCTGATTAAAATAAAATAAACAAACAACCCCCCCAGCCCCACCAGCTGTACTGTTCACACTCCCTGAGAACCAGAAATGGGGGTGGGCACGGCCGTGGAGCGCTGCCCAGCTGTAGGGCTTGGAAGTCTCGCGCTTTGGGCTTTAAGCCACAGCTCAGAAAAAATCCATGCCTGTTTGCCCAAAGAAAATTCAGTAGATGGATGGCGCTCCATTTAGCATCTAATCTCTGAACTTTCTGATTACTCAAGTCTCGCTACCGGTCTTAAAAACTGTCAGTTTTCCAAGGTCCGTGGTATTGGCTGACAGGGGCCGCTCCTCCATTAACCAGATCGCCAGCATTCCGTGCCAAGCTCAGACACAACTGCATTTGCTCCTCCAAATCCTAGGCAAAGAATCGCGTTTCCTATGCTGTACCAGTGTGACACTGCTGTGATGAGGGCTGCAGAGAGGATAGGCTTGTGCACCTAACACACACAGCTCTGTGTTTCTCCTGCTCTTCATGAGTGATTTCCAGTGCCACGCTTGGCATGCCTGTAAGACCAGGAAAACTCATGTGGTAGCTCCATGGTGCTGCCTGGCAAGTTATTGCTTCTACAGAAGGGTTCAGAGTTCCCTGACTTGGGATTCAGGGAGAACAGCTTGGTGGGTTTTGTCCCTGAGGTATTTCTAGAGCTTGCTCTTGGAGTCCAGAGGCCTCAGCTTCCACTAAAACGCGGCTCCGAGTTCTGCAGAAACGGACGACTCGTGCTTGCCAGGAAAACCTGCTGACGTGCCTGCTCAGTTTTCAAGCTCTACCCTACAAGGCACGTGACCGGGAGACCCTTGGGATTTGTGCAGTGTTCCAGGCTTGGTCACACTCCTCGTGATGGCAGAATAGCCAAGACTTTTCCCAACCACACCCTGGTACGGGGGGCTCCAACCATGGATGGTGCTCTGGGTCACTCCCTCTGCCTGCACTCCATGTGCCTTTTGTGCTCCCTGGAGTTCAGTGCTGGTGGTGGCTGCTACGGGCACTTCCCTGCTCAGAGAGCACCACCCGGCTGGGCTTTTCTGCTTAGGTCCCGTTCTTCCTTTCCCAAGGCTTTGCTGTCCAGCAAAGGGCAGCAGAGCTGGGACGGGGCTGGAGGACAATTCCCTCCTGGAGAGGAGGAGGCTCAGGAAGACCTTATCGCTCCCTACAGCTCCCTGAAAGGGGGATGCAGAGAGTGGGGGTCGGTCTCTTCTCCCAAGTGAAGAGTGACGGGACAGGAGGAAATGGCCTCAAGTTGCACCAGGGGAGGTTCACACTGGATATTAGGAAGAGTTTCTTCACTGAAAGGGTTGTCAGGCATTAGGATGGGCTGCCCGGGGAGGTGGTGGAGTCACCATCCCTGGAGGGATTTAAAAGACGTGGATGAGGTGCTTAGGGACATGGTTTAGGGGTGGACTTGGCAGTGCTGGGTTAACGGTTGGGCTTGACGGTCATAAAGGGCTTTTCCAACATAAATGATTCTATGAACATGTTCTAGATGTTTGTGGCACTGGCTTCAGGCTTCTGCCAGTTCCTGAAGCCTGTTTCTGTAATTATTTTTAGTGCTGCTCATCTATCATCTACATGGAAGTCCATGTTTATCCCTTTCCCATAGCATCTGAAAGCCTTTAGTTCCTCCTTCCCTATAAATCAAACCATCCGTGTCCCTCAAACTATGTGGATTCCTTTGGAGCAAGTACTGTCTGCAGGAGGAAAATCAGAGGTCAGTGTAAGAGTATTAAAAACCTCTTTTCCTTCTGGAAGGTCACAAGACACCCAGGTCTGTTTGCCCAAAGGCACAAAGCGAGCTGCTGGCCAAGGGTGGTAGCGGGCAGGTTACTTTCCAAAAGGCTGGCGCTGGACTGGGCCGCTTTACTGCCCGGCTGGGTTGGTTTACCTGGGGCACCCGCTGGCTGGGAGCTAAGGATGCTGCTACAAAGGTCATACACGCAAGAGTAATCCGTCTGCTGCAGACACAGCCACTGCTTGAAGGTGCTGCTAGGCCTGAAAGAGTGCTGGGGTACAGCAAATCTCAATTCAGAAACGCCCGGGGTTCTGTGCGCAAGGAAGATGGGCACCAGATTCTGGCATTTCAGTAAAACTGAAGTGGCAGGGTTGTATAAGCCATAGTTTCAGCAACAAAGCTGGAGCCTGACTTCAGGCAAGCAGAAGGGACGCTGAGAGCCCCGAGCAGAGGTGCTGAGGTGTGCAGCAGCATGGAGGAGATACGGGTCTTGCTGAGGATGTAGTTCCATGAACAGTCTTAATTTTTCTCTGGGGGCTGGACTTTGACTAATTGGGTCTGCTGGATATTGTCCTTCATTTGTAACCTATTTGAAGGGTCTGACAAATGGACCTCGTGTGTTCCTGCCCTTCCCCACCCAGGAGTGCTGGGTGGGGTGGGGAAAGGAGCTTTGGCCCTTGTACTTAAGAACAGGGAAGAGGTAAGCGGGTCGCCTGCAAAGAAGTCTTGTCTTGGCCTTTTGCCAGTGCCTGACTGGCGTGGAGCACAACGTGACTGGCGTCGCAGCGCTGGGAACCAGTCCTGCCATGACGGCAGGGAGGACCCAGCAGTGCAAAGAGAACACAGAGCCTGTGTTGGAGCAGTGTACCGCGAGCCGAAGCAATGCCATGATGGCCTGTATGAGGAACAAAAGCCTTTGATGACCCGGGAGGCTTCTCCGCTAACGCGTGGAATTGTCGTAAATGAGGCATCCAATTGATGACCAGGACTTCATGTTTTTGCAATTGTACTTGGTGTGTATTGGTGCACAGTAATTCCAGTAGGTAAGAATCCACCTGTTTATGTGCAAAGATGAGTTTACTCCACCTGGAAAGGTGAGAAGGATCCTTTTTAACCTTCTCTGGGTACGCTGCCAAGCCATGACAGTGTATCACACACTTCAATAAACTTGTGATTTATTAAAAAAGACCTGAAGACGTCTCAAGCGGAAGTGTGCTTCGCTGCTCACCAATATGCAGCTCTGGAGTGACAGCAGCACACACTGGGACTATTTTGGGTAAATCTCCAGCTCACCAACTGGAGATCTCTTGTGCAAGTTCAAATCAAATCAAACCCCCCAAACCCACAGCATCTAGTATTTAATTTCTGCCTACAAATAATTTAGCTTCAGCTTTGGGTGTCTCCTGCAACCATTCTGTTCAGGACAGCGATGATTCCTGGGCCTTGGGGCAAGCTTTTGGTATTTCCACCATTACGCTGCCTTCTCCTTCGGAGCAGGTGAGCATGAAACCCATCCAGCGGGGCTTTGGCTTCAGTTAGCGATTTGGCCTTTTGCTTTTGTCAAGGGGCAGGTGGGACACTTCAGAAAGGTGAATTGCCACTGTCGTGGCAGGGGAAACAACACTTTCTCAAACAGCTCAGGCAGAGCTCACAGGCTGCTGGGTTGCATCCTGGTGGCAGCCCCGCTGGAGGCTATGGGGAGGGATACGTTCACAGCTGGCCACGTGCTGAAGCTCCCGAGTGCTTCTCCCGTGCTCTTTCCATCCCCGCAGACTTCACCCAGCCACGGATGATGCTCGCCTCGAGCTTGCGCACCTCTGTGACAGACGGGGGGTCAGCTGGGTTGTGTCCTCTAGAGAAAGCAGAGCAGCATGAGCTGTCAGTGGGCAGCAGCTCTTTGTCTCTTGCGCAGGGAAAGCCAAGCCAGGGAACTGAGGGACAGATACTAACTGGTCTGCACTTTGTATTCATACCCCAGAAAACAAGGCAGTGTCACACCTGCCAGGGGGTTGGGAGGCAGGCTTGGGAGACCTGAGCCCTCCCTTGCATCAGGGGCTGTTGCCCTTTCTGCTCTGGGCCTTGAAAGCTGATGGCTAATGCCAAGAGGCACTGGACTACTCCACGACTGATCGCTACAGGCAATCCCTCACTTGTGCCAATCCCTGGACAAGAACACGTTCTGATGAAAGTATGTGAGCTCGGCGCCGAGTTCCGCACAGCTGGCTTCCCTGAAGGCTGTATGAGCCCTGCACCAGGGAGGAACTCTGCCGTAGTTAACGCTGCCATAGTTTTGCTGCAGCATCCTGGTATCCAGTACTTTTTACTCAGTATCTCCTGGTTCTTTGGCCTGCAGGTAGCTTAGGTCAAACACCCGGGGCAGCAGGATTTTGGCAGCCAGAGTTCAGTACTTACCGGAGATCTAGGTGATGCGCACCTCCTTTAATTGTCAGTGCGATTAGGGAAGGGCTGAGGCTGCGATTTATCTGAAAGGAGAAGGAGCAGAGACAAACTCTCACCAAGTTACTGGGCAGAACTGGACAGCAGTTCCGAAAATTGGAAGATGAGCTGGGCAGGACCGAGGAAAAGCTTGGGAAGAGATCCTTGGTATGGCTGATACTGTCTGTGTGGCTAACAGTCCCAATGAGCCAAATTGTGTGTCTCAAATGAAGTGAAGGCTTCCCCCACGATGAAAACTGTCAGCCTACTGCAGTACAGGTGGTTTGAAGCAACAGGCTCTTTCTGGGCCCATGCACCCTCCACAGCCTGTTCCTCTTGCAACTGGGATTGCCAAGCCAGCCTAAACCAAGGAACTCCTGCATTACAGTCAGGAGCTCAACTAACTCAAAATCCAGTTCTGGGTCAGTTTTGGTTTTAAATTTTAAACTAGAGCTCTGCCACCAGTATGAAGTGTTGTTGAACCTAAGCCAAAACACGCCCAGGCTTGAGTTGCTGCTTATAGCAACCACTTTGTCTGACACAGTATGCCAAGACTGGAGCGAGCAAGAAGCACCCGGCTGTCAGCACCAAGAGCGGGTCTCGGCACAGCAACGCAGTGGGTTGTGGTTCAGAGCCCGGGTGTTGGGTAAGGAGGGTCCCCCGTGTCGGCATGAGCGAAGCACCCGTTGCGGCACCAGTGTTCCTGGCTGATGGGCATGAGTCAGTGTGTCCATCGCTAATGGTTCTTGAATGGTTCAGCGTAAGCAGAAACTCAAATGGGCCAAAGATTAATCACCAGTGCTGCTCTAGAAGGGGTGGGTGGGCAGGGGTGTGCATCACCCGGAAAGGCTGCTCTCTGTGCTGTGTGCAGGAGTTCACATGCTTACCCCACCTCCAGCCCATGGGTCCAAATCTCCATTTGAAAAGATGATGTTGCTTGCACTTTGCAGGTCTGAAATTCAGAGATGACATTTGAGTGGCCTCCTTGGCCCATTTACCCAAACATGTTACCCAAACTGCAGCAAACAGCCAACAACAAACACAGGGGAATAAATTTGCTGCAGTTTTTAGGTTTTTCCACTTCTGTCTCAAGGAGGTACAGAAAGGTCTGTTTGGCTCAAGTCAGCACAAGGCTGTGACTTTCTGCCGGGGCCTGTGCACTGTGTCTGTCCCCACAGAGCTCCGTCCGCTGGGCAGGGCGGGGACAGGCAGACAGCCGCAGGGAGCAGCCTGCACAACTCACCTCCTCCCCAGAAGTTTGTCCGCAGCCAGTCTGCTCGGGGCCTCACGTGCCATTTGCGCCAGCAGTACTGCTCTCGCATGGCCTCCGTGAAAAGCATCTCGGGGAACATGTCAGTCACGTTGTTGCTGTTGAAAGTCAAGTTGATCTCGGTGCAAACCTAGGAGAGGTATAGGAGCTGTCACGGGGCAGGGGGATAACCAGGGCAGCAGCTCAAACCTGTCGGTGCCTCCAACGCCTCACCTGGTAGTCCCAGGCCTCAGCGTCTGAGCCGATGCCGCAGCCCGTGGGGTCAGCGCAGGACTGGTACAGCTGGTATATGTCGTAACACTGTGCTGAGCCGGAGGAGTTGTAAAACACCCCTGCAAGGTAGGAGCAGTACAAAGCCAGCCTGTCAGTACCTCCATGCTGCCTCCCGCCGAGCCGCGCAGAGAGGGAGCTATCGCAGCTGGGCAATGTGCAGGGCTGAGGCAGAGCTAGCAGGATCTGTACCAGCGTGAGCCTATGATCCCAACCTTATGCCAAAGCTTTCACATGGTCTTAGGCCTGGCTGTGTCACACCCTTTGCTTCTGCTGTCCATGGCCAGGAAAATGCCCCCAGGTGCTGCTTCCGCTCCTGCCAGAAGCCGAGCGCGAGCCCAGCCTCCAGCCCTAACCCATGGAGGAGCAGGCTGCGCACAGGATGTTAGCTGCAACACTTTCAACTGAGCGGGACACAACTGCTACGACCTTTCCAGCCCTCCCTGAAAGAAGCTGTCGTCTGGACTCACCGAATTTAGTTGGAGGGCCAAGAGTGGCCCGTCACAGACAGGATTTTGTTTGACTGTTGTTCAAGAGGAGAAAGCAGGCGTGTGCAGGCTTGCCCAGACAAAACAGCACCTGACCCCGTGGCCCAGCGACGCGTAGCTGGAGAGCTGCGGAAGAACGCGCTGCTGTTTGTGCGGATGGGCAGTTACCAGATAGCAAGAGGAGGAATGTGGCTATGCGGGTGGCTGTCTGCTGCTGCCAGTGTCCCACCCACAGGCAAAACCCACACACACTGTGGGGTTTGTGTGATGAACAGCACCAGCAGCTCTGCTCGCAGACAGCCCCGCGCGACTCTGCAAGGCACACAGCACTCCGCACCTCCGAAGCACTGGGCGGAGGCCACTGAGGAGGGAGGCCGCTGCCTTTTGGGTGGCTCTGGCGTGGGCAGCAGAGCCTCACCTCCCTCAAAGCATAAAACCACTGGTTCGACTGCAGAAGACGGCCCAGGAGACGCACTGAGTGTGTGTATTGGAGAGTCCTGGGGCTGCTCCAGGGCTACGCTCCTTGCAGGGCAATGCCGCTCAGCTCGCGGGCCAGCACGGTACGGCTCCAGTCGGACACCTATCTGGTGAAACTCCTGGAAGGTCTCAGCAGCCTTCGCTCGCAGAGCACACTGTGCGACGTGACACTGGAGGCAGAAGGAGTTTGCTTTCCAGCCCACAAGATCATTTTAGCATCAGCAAGTCATTACTGCAAGATCCTGTTTGTTGGAAACGCGACAAGAGTGGGAAGCCTGGATGGTAACGTCCGGCTGAAAGCCGTCAGCGCTGCTGGGCTGAGGAATGTTCTCAACTTCATTTACTCCAACAAACTAGACCTCTCCTTACAAAATATCGAGGAGACCTTCAAAGCTGCAGAAACCCTCCTGGTTCGGGAGGTGATCAAGCTGTGCTTTCGCTTTCTGGAGGGTTGCTTGACCTATGAGAACTGCACAGATGTCCTTAACATTGCTAAAAGATTCGGCCCAGCAGAGTTGAGACAGAAAGCCATGTGCTATGTAGGGCAGCATTACAAACAAATTCTGGCTTATCCTCAGTGCTTGGAAGACCTGGACCGAGGAACACTTTGTGAAATTTTAGACAGGACTGACACCGAGGGGTGCAGTGAGCTGGAGCTGTTCAGAGCCGCCGTGAGCTGGCTGCAGCACGACTGCACGCGGCTGAAAGAGGCAGCAGATATTTTGAGACGTGTAAGATTCCCTCTCATTCCTTTACGGGATCTGCAGAGACATGTCCAGGAAACGCCTCTTATGAGGCTGGACTCAGGCTGCCACAGGTACCTGCAGGAGGCTCTGAATTACCACTCCCAACTGTATGCTCAGCCAGTCCTGCAGACCCAGAGCACCAGCCTCCGCTCTGGCTCCACCATGCTGCTTGTTGCTGGTGGCAGAACCTCTGACAACTGCGTGTGCAGAGAGATGTGGGCTGCAGACCAGAGCTGCAGCACCTGGCATAAGGTCGGGGACCTCTGTGTGCCAGTGTACAACCACTGTGTTGCCGTCATCAATGACTTCCTCTTTGTCATTGGGGGACAGTGCAAATTTGATCCCACAGGAAAGCAGCCGTCAAATCAGGTAAGACACAAGAAACCTTTAGCCTTGGAAAAATGGCTGGGGGGAGGGAGGGAGGCATTCCTCTTGCCTACCACAGATCTCCCACCTTTACGTGTTTCTTAGCGTTCTGTGCAGTACTGAAAGTCCCTGGGAACACAGCTTCCAAACTCTCTGTGGGAAGCAATCAGGTCCTGCCCTGGTCACACCTTGCTCCTGCTGTAAATTGTTATCCTAACCTGTACACAACTCCCATCGCACAGGTTCAGCCAGCTCCACGCCAGCCAATCAGGGAACCCCGTGCGTGCTACCCCTGTCCCCACTTGATGCTGCCATGGGACTTGTGCACGGGAGGCATGGGAAAAGCCTGCCACTTCACTTGAGAACTGCCCCTTCCTTGTTTTTGCCCTTGAAAGGCAAATCTGCTTTACCACCTAGGACTTCTCCCTTCTGCCTGGGGAGTACAAAGACTTGTGCAGGATTTATGATTTCCTAGATGGCTTCAGTCAGCACGCAAGAAAAATCAGCATGTTTTCAGTTGCCATGCTCCCGGCAGGCTTGCTTCAGTATTGCACGAGTTCAACCGTGCCCTTGCAAACAACAACTCTCTTCCACTGCCTTGACGGCAGGAGGCAGCTCAGCAGCAGTGGAGCAGAGGATGCTGCAGCAGCAGGCTGCGGCACTGGCTGCTGGGCTACAGCCCGAGCCCGGCACGCACCGCATGTGGTTTTGCAGATACGCTCTTGCTCAGTGACTTGGGCTTTCTAACCAGAACTGACAAAACAAGCGTGGGGAGGTATTTCCTGCTAACAAGATGTGAATGGAAACCCAGCCTTAGGAGGGATGCTGGGGTGCTGTGCCGCTGTGGTGATGCCAGCAGGAACAAGGGGAGGGGAAGCCACTCCTGCCTTCTCCTGGGCGAAAGCAATGGGCAGAGCTCAGCTGCTGTCTTTACTACGCACTCAAATCGTGCCAAAGATGCAAAATGTACTTGTTTAAATCCCACTGAAACAGTTTTCAGCTGACACATGCTAGCTGGTGTTTGAAACAAAGGTAATTCATTAACCCAATGTGTGTCAACTCCTGCCTGCTGCAAGTTGAGAGCATAACCTGGTGCCAGACCTGCAGAGACCTGCAGAAAGGCCAAACTGAGCCTCCAGCTCCACTGGGGAGGTATTGCTGTATCAGCTGGCCGGCACTGAAAGTTGAGACTGTCCAGGTCTGAATATAAAACCTTCCTCAGCCCAGGGAAAACGTTTATCAGTTCGTGAAGCCACAGGAGATGCAAGCTGGCCCGCCAGCCGGCCAGCCACCTTCTGCTAACCACCACCCGTCTGCTCTGATCCTAGGTTTTCCGATTTGATCCTCGCAACGCTTCCTGGCTCCAGGTCGCCAGCATGCTGGAGAGGCGGACACGCTTCCACGCGGATGTGCTGTCTGACTGCATCTTCGCAGTGGGTGGTGGGACACTGCTGGGGACCCTCACCCACACCGTGGAATTGTACCAGCCCGCTGACAACAAGTGGGAGTTTGCAGCTTCCTACCCCACGCCCATTGCCGATCACGCAGGCACAACCCACAAGGGAATCCTCTATATTTCAGGTGGTAGAGCAAGTAGAAAGCATCACATTTTCATACAGTTTTACTGAGTTTTGCTGGCATCTTAACGTCACAGTCTAAGCCTGCACCCGTACCAGGAACGCCCACAGCTCCAGTGTCCCTTTCCTGCTGTGCTAGCACAGCCTCCCTGCCCTCTTGAATGGCCAGTTATTTTCTTTCCAGGACATTAAAGGTGACATCATCTGCATGCAATCCACACCCCTGCTCACCTCCTACCTTGCAATGCTGGCTAAATCCCAAAGCTCTGCTGTCTGAAAAGGTAAACCAGGAGCCGGCTTCCATGGTGCTGGGGATGGGATTAAACCCTGGTATTAATCTGAATGGCAGATGTAGGACTAACCCTACCGTTGCGCTTTGTTAACCTGTTCAAAAAGGCAGAGTGCAGGCTCTTGCCCTCTTACCCACTAAGCCTGTACAGCTCTTGACCTACACGTGATCCTCAGTCCTTACAGGCCTCGTTGGTAGACAGTGCAGGATGCTTAACGACAACACAGCATGGGTTTGAGCATTTCAGGGAATTGTTGTAGGATCTTCAGCTTTTGTAGCAACTAATTTGGACTTGAAACCTAATCTTTGGTTTGACCTAGGAAAAGCACTGCAGTGTTGGTGTTGTTGCCTCTGCCGTTCAAAGTCCTGGGCCAGTCTGCCATCAGTGTAGGCTCCCTGCTTCATAAACCAGTTACAGGCAGCTGGGAGCACTGTACTCACCTAGTCCAGATTAACTCCACTTGCACAGTCGCAAAGAAGGGTGCTTCTCTGTGATAGCCTGTACACCTGAGGCCCCAAGGGCAGGGCAGGCAGCTGACGGTCTGTCCCAGGCAGACGTGCAACCCGCTGAGAGCAGGGCTCTGCTCTGGCAGTGCACATGGATTGTGGTGCAGCTGGTGGAGTGACCGAGGCTCAGGTTCAAGTCCCTGCTGTGACTTGGCTGGCCCATAGTGCCACTTGCAGTCCATTTAGGCTGTCAGCCCTCTGTTGGCCTCAATTCCTTCCCAAAAGCAAGGACAAAATTGCCTCACAGAGCTTCAATCATACAATAGTGACCTAGGCTGGATAATACTATACCCCTTGGGTATAAGATTGTTGTGGTTTAACCCCCAGCACAAAGATCTCACCTACCTACACCATTCAGTTCCTTCTAAACTAGTGGGGTAACTGCACATTTGATCTGGCCAGCCTACAGCCCTGTCCAAGCAAACAGAAAAATGAAGAGCATTACTTCAGTACAAGATTTAAACACAAGCTCCATGCAGACAGCGTTCACACACAGCATCAAAACCCAGGTGTGCTGGGGCTTACAGCCAACCTGAACCCCAACTTCCTTGTCTGCAAAGCCTCCCTGCTGGAAGTCAACAGGCAGGCAGCTGCTTCCCAGAGCAGCCCTTCTGCACGGAGTTTTTTACAAACACCCCTGAAATACAAGAGTGCCTAATAAAGAGAAAAAGCTGAGAACGCTGCCAGATTGGTTCTGACCTTCTGTTGAAGTTCTGAAGTTCAAAGAGCTTTAAATACTTTGCTTTCGCAACACCAGTTTGTGATAGCACGTGCTGGAAGCAGATTCCCTACTTACAGCTGTTCCTGGTCACACTTGAAATACCCCAAGAGCTTTTTTTAAAAAATCTTTTGTGGAAAACTATTTACAGAAAGAGCTGGAACTGGTTTGGGTTTGGTTTTTTTTTTCTCTTTAAAATGTATATAAGAGGCTCAGGTTTTAAATTTCAACTGGCTCTGCGGAACAGTGTGAGATATCAAACCTGAACTTCTTAGGTATTTTAAAGAAAAAAATCAGCTCTACTAATGTTTGCAGAAGGTTGTTGGATGTCAGAGAGGATCATGGATAGATTTTCAAGACTTCTGCTTTCCTTCTAGGGGGTTTCTCTGGGGGTAAAACTTTACGTGACACGTACAGCTACCTCCCTCGCCTCCGACGCTGGATTGGCAATAGTGCCATGGCTTTTACCCGCTGTGATCATGGGATGGCTACAGTCGGGGACAGGATCCTTTGCATTGGAGGAAGGACACTGAAAGGAGTAAGTGCATTTGCTCTTATAATCCCAAATCTGATCCAAAATGGGGTTTCAGTATGGCTAGGCCCTGACTGGTTTATTCCAACAGGTTGACCAGTAACTTCATTATTTTTGGTCTCTTAGTGGACGGGCACAGGTGCAAGTCAGGCCAATAAGCTTAGGAAAATGTGCCTGACATGACAGTCATGTACATTTGCAGCTGCCCTGCTGCCACACTCTATTTCCTTGAGTACAAAGGCTGTTTAAAGCATTTTTTTTAAACACAGAAAACACAGGGTGGAGGCACAGGCTGCTAATTCAGGAAAACCTAGGTGTAAAGTTGGTCACATACCTGCCCAAACACACTGACAACCTGATTTTGTTTGACCTGACAGAGGGGCAAACACTGCAGGATGGGAAGAGGAATAGACTGCAGTGAGAACACTAGCCTAGGTTTTAGGAAAGATGGGCTCAAATCCTGGAATGCAAATGAATCTTTTCAAACCTGGATTGCCCATGTCTGAAAGAGGAGGGAAAGTGCTGCCCAGCCTTCTGGGGAAGGCAAGCCAGGAAGAGACCTGACAGGGACTGAAAGGCTCATATGAGGAGAATCCTATTCCCTGAAGCCAAGCGAACTGAGTGTTCAAAGATCACTCAGCAATTCCCATTTCAAAGTGTAAAGACTCAGAGCCTGCCCTAATTTTACCATGATGGGTATGGTTTCTTTTGAAGGCATCTTATGGTACTTAACTGCTCACTGTGGAAGGGATAAAAATCTATACAGCGAAACTGCACATCAAGGCTGACATCAAATTCCTCCAGATGACACAAACTCAGTTATAGTCCACAATAGGTTGCCCAGAGAAGCTGTGGATGCCACATCCCTGGCTGTCTTCAAGGCCAGGCTGGATGAGGCTTGGAGCAACCTGGTCTAGTGGAAGGTGTCCCTGCCCATGGCAGGGGGGTTGGAACTGGATGATCTTTAAGGTTCCTTCCAACCCAAACCATTCTGTGATTCTATGAATTCAAGACAATGTAGACCTTTGGGTGATTTCCTTTGTGATGTCTTATGTCTGGGGAGCAGGCAGGACTTGGCCGATGCCAGTTCCAGCAGGCCCCTGTGGCTCAGCTCACTCTGATTTTCCCAGGAACAAAGCTCCCTTAAAGCCTTGCCATTCTGGTATTTCATTCAGGTTCTTTTGAGGGACTGATTGATAAATGTGGGTTGAAAACGGGACACCTTGAGCCCCATGGTATTTACATACATGTTGAGACACTGGTTTCCTTTGTCATGAACCAAGTGAGCCTGACATAGCAGCGATGTCCACTTGAGGCGTGAGACGATGGGTGTTGGTCTCGTTCTCTGCAGGCGGAGGAATGGATTCACGTCAATGAGACCGAGTACTATTGTCCTGTGAGCAACCAGTGGACAACGCTAACACTGTCCCTGTTCAACTCCTGCCAGTTCAGCGTCACAGCCCACGAGTCTACGCTCTACCTTGCAGGAGGTGGTTTGCTGCAGCACATGCAGAAAGAAGACAGTGTTTTCCTGTATAACACAGAGGGGCAGCTGTGGAAGAAAGCCAGTCCCCTGCCTAAACCTCTGGTGGGTCATGCCTCGTGCATGATTAAACTGTCCCAAGTGAATGCAGCTGGTGAGACTGGGAGAGGCACAAAGTGCTCCCCTGCAGGCACGAGTACAGAATCTGCCCTCAGCTTGTTCAGCACAAAGAAACGAGAGTCCTACTCTGCCTCACAAAAGAAGTAGGATGTGAATATGTCAAGCAGATCTGACAGTGTTTGCGAAGCCATTAGTATTGTAACAGCTGTCCTAGCTGCCAGCCAAACGTCTTTAGCAGTGATTTGGAATTGGTAATTTTCTGCGTTGGTGCTATGGTGACATGCATCATTTGCAAAAATAAAAAAATAGTTCCTAATCCTACTAAGCTCCATTAAATCCATAAGAATTCCTTAAATTAATTTTCTGTCAATCATAACTCATTTTTCTGAATAATGACAAATGTAGAGCTTAGTTTCAATGGGCAACTTGACAGATTTTGTGAGGAAATCTTTAAAAGAGCTTTGAATTCTCTCTCTCTAATAACTTCCTTAAGAACACTGACAGCTGACTAAGTACTCACAGAGATAAATATACACAATACACAATGTATTTAAGACCGTCTTGCCACTGGACTAATACTGTAAGGCACTGTGGTGACAAACTTGTCCTCAACAAGCAGACCAGAAAACTTCCTTTGGTGAACGTGCATTGAACCCCGTGGCAGCTTGAGCCAAAGTAAACTTCTAGAAGAGAACCAAGCACCTTAGAAGTCCACATCTCAGGACAGTCAACAGGCTAAGAAGCTGCAGTGGCTGAAAAACCCAACAAGGATAAGTTTGGACAGGTGAGAGAATGAACCCATGGGCCACCAAGGGACATCCTGACAGACAAAGCCAATGTGGGGCAACATGTCCCAGCAGGAGATCGAAGTCATACCAGCTCCCGCGATAAACATCCCGCACAACAATGCAACAGCTCTACTTACCAGTGCTCTAGAAACACAAGGTGTTAAATAAAGGACCAAATTGATACTATTAACTCACCAACAAGAGCAGCCAGGCCTTGAATTGGGTCTGTGTGGGCAAGGATTTGTTCACAGCCAACCTAGATGAGACACATTACAGGGAAATTGCAGACGAAATAGTTAACAGTCTCTGCTCCCCAGAAGGGCTAAACTGGAAGATTCATTAAAATTATCACTTACACATTTCCAAGGGCCTAATGTAACAGGTTCTTCTAGAAGCAAAATGCATAGAAACAAAGAGACAGGGCTGGGACAAACAGTTCCTTTACGCAGTTAAGCAGCTGTGCAGAGGCCACAGTGATGCACAATAATTCCTTCCTCCTACAATCAAAATATTTTAATGCCCTTCTCGAAGTGGGGGTAGAATAATTATTTCCATTTTACAGGTTGTTAAACAGACCTGTTTAACAGGGAACTGGCTGCCCTGTGGAGCCAGGCAGCATCTCTTGGCTCCCAGTTCAGCACAGCCTGTATGACCACAATATGCATTTTACTCCAGGTAGCACTCGCACCATAAACACCACAAGGCCCAAGGCAAAAAAAGCCCCATCAGTGTGGTGCACTGGAGTGCAGCAGAGAACAGCAGCATGAGGCTGACAGCACACCAGAATAAACCAAGAACTGCAACAAGCAGCTGGTGATCTGGGATCAAAGCTGGGACCTGCAAAAGCAGCCGGTGTCTGAGCAGTCTTTGTAAACCCCTGAGAAAGGGGCCCCTTCCCCCCACTTCACCATTTCTGACTCTCTTGAAAGTCTACAGGTTTCTCAGTCCCCACAGCAGCAGACTTTTCTCTGTATTATACTCTGAGATACGTAATTTTCCCAAGCGATACTTAGAAAGGAGACAGACTTTCAGATCTCCATCCCTACCCACCAAGAAAAATACATCTATGAAGGTGTGTTGCAGTGGGCTACAACAAACCAAAATTTTTTTAAAAAGCTACAGGTTTTTAGTGTTTAAAAGCTGAAGCCAGCAAGCTGGCACAGGCCTTCATGTCTAAGGAAAAGGCAGAGCAGCGTAGGAGTGGCTCTGGAAACCCTCCACGATGAGCCCTACAGCAGCGCATTTCCAACACGGCAGTCATTGTCACAGGGAAGTTTAAAACGTGTGTATCTACTGCAACATCCCCCACTACCTCCGCCGTCACCATCACTGACAGTGTGTGCCTGACACTTTCCCAGGCTGTACAGTGCCTTCCACTCCAATCACCAAGGTGCACATCAGCAATGGTGACTCTTGCCTGTGTCCTGGTACTCACCTTCACTGGATTGGCAGGGAGGTGGCCCATGAAATCGGTTTTGTAAGGGTAGTCCATCATGGCCATCATGGTGAAGGCATTTCTAGCAAACCCAAAAAGCTGGTAAACATCCTCCTTGTTAGAGATCTTATTGCATGTGGCCATTTTGCTGCTGATTTCATTGTAGGCTGCAGAATAAAGGAAAATAAAAGACCCAAACTTCAACAGAGGAAAATAATACCAAGCTTCAGCATCTTGTTTCACTCAGGAGTAAGGAGGTGTCATAACACACAGATGAGGTTTCTAATGGCAAGGACACACTGCATCTAACTTTACGCACATGTGGATGCTCAGGCACTGCCTTCCTGTGCAGCTTCACAACCCAGCATGGCCCATGGCCCACACCCTGCCCCTCGCAGAGCCAGCCTGGGGAGCCCAGAGGAATTGGCACCCACTGAGACAGAAGCAGTCACGGCTGGCACAGTGAAAAGAGCAGCTTGGTATGAGCTCGTCCTCACTGGTGCACTGCCTGGCTGCCTCCTCCTCACCCCCACAGGTGCCCTCCCCAGCATCTGCTGTGCCCTGCAGGGCAGCCTCAGCAAGCTCTCATGCAGGACAGCAGGGCACAGCGTACAGGTCCTAGTGGGATTCAACAGCTGGAAGAGCTGGCAGGAAGAAAAAAGAGCTCCTTGGGAGCTGGGTGCATGTGCAGTTAGAGTTGTCAAATGAGACAAAGTCACAAAGGACTCCTGGAACATGCCTTCAGCTGGAAAAAGGCATGAAGAAGTCAGCTGGAATCAAGAAATCTGTCTTTGTAGAGATCACTTTAAGATCACTCACATACCTTTGCATTTCTGCTGGGGAAAGCTGCTCCCTTCATTTTCATCCCCCACATTCCAGAGTCGCAGTTCCTGTCAGTCCTCATTGTACACTACAGGCTGCCCACTGGAGTCTGGCTGTCTTTACTGGGAAACCCAAGGCCTAGGACCTGCCTCTGGGTACTCACTTTGGAGCCTAAGCCTTAAACATGACCACCTCATTCACCCCGATGCAGAAGCATGGCTCCAGGCAGTCCTCAAGGACCTTGGCTATTTAACAGTAATGGTTTTCCTGCTGTAACCTGCTACATGGGTTTTGCACCCCTGGCTCCTCTGGGCAATTCCAGGAGCAGCTCCTGCAGCCAGGCAGCGACAGCAGCCGTGGGAGGCACACAGCCCCTGACGTGCGGCATCACAGACCAAACCAAGCCTTGAGACAGACCAAGAACCCACCACAGCTGCTCCAACACCACGCAAGGCTCCAAGAAGATGCTGCATTGGCCCAGGATATATGCTTTGTCCTACTTTGGAGATATTGCAGAGATCTTCATCAGTCTCTGTCCTCGGCTTCACCTAACTGTCCAAGGTTGGAGATAAAAGACTGTTATGGCTGCCTCAAGGCCTAGATTGCCTTCCAAATATTTCTCAGATATGTCCAGTGAGGTAAGCCACGCAGGAGTCATACACACCTGAATAGTTCTCAACAGTGCAGGTATGGAGGACAAGTATCTGGTGAAACACGAGGCTTTACCAGCATAAAATGCAAGTGCTTTGCATCTGCAGGTGTTTTTGCACTTTGGTGCAGAAAAGACCGTTTCATTACTACTGTGCAAGCCCTCACATAAATGCTTTCATTTTGGTGTCAGTTACTAATTTTAATGCTAACTGCTCATCAAATCAAAATTGTGCAAGCAGAAAGAGGCAGCCAGGTGGGTATTTGAACCAACTGAAGACCTAGCTGCAGTAAATCTGAATCAGCTTTTTTCCACACGGCTGGGATGGCAGCTGGCTGGCCGTGGGAGCTGTTCGCAGGGCTGTCTCTCCTTACCTCCACTCAGGCACAGATCCTTGATCTGCTGGAAGGCTCTCCAGACAGCTGTGACACAGCCTGGGCTAGACTTCTGAAAATCCTGAAGGGACAGAAAAGACAGAGGATTATGGTTGCACAGAGGAGATACATGTAGAGGCTGCACTGGAAGAACAGCTAAAAGTACCAGGAGATATCAGGGGTTACTGGCCCACTGGTCAGAATCCCATCTGCGTCTCCAGAAGCAGCAACACCAGTGCTTCTGACTTGTCCTCCAGACAATCTGCATGTCCCAGCAGATGCCAAGAGTCTGCACAGTTCAGACCAAGCACCAACTGTTTCACCAGGTCTCATTGGGATGAGCTGTTAGACAAAACACTGTGCACTTAGTGGAGCCATTAGACAGAACATGAAGTAGCAAGAGGAGACACACTTTGACCAGAACACGGAAGTCAGGCTTCTAGGCCTAAAACGCTTTTGTTGTTTGTTGGGTGGCTTTGTTTGTTTGTTTGTTTTTTAAACACACAACAGAGTTCTTCCAATTGCACTTTGTCTACGAGAAGGAGCCATGGAGAAGTCAGTTATGCATCAGGGGCAAGGCACTGGTTTGGGAACCAAGACATGCTTTTCTTAAGCCTGCCAGTGACCTGCCAGATGACCAAGAAGGCCATGTCCTTTTCCTTGGGAAAAACATTACTGATTGTGAAAAAGCACTTTAAGGTATGTTTGAAGAACAGTGGCTGGTTATGCTGGCGGAACAGGTTGTTACTGTCACTGAAGGCTCTAGCAACTCCAACTGTTTCTCTTCTGTCAGCGTGTACAGCAGTTTGCGATAGGCAGGCAACCAGGGCTTTTAATAATAAGAATTATTAGGGCTCTTTTGAGGTCCCTTCATCCTCCTAGAGCAACAGTTAAGTAAGCAGAAATCACTAGCTAAGAATTCTTCTTACAAAGACCCAGCCTCAGATAAAAATAGATATGGGACATTTCTTTTATTCCTAACTCTGCCTTTGTCTGATAGTTATGCTTAGAGAAATCACTGTGGGGTTTTCCAGAGTTTACCTGGGCATCCCTGTAGGGGTTCCAAATGGATGTGTTTGTTGATCTTAGTCTACTACTGGCTCTAATTGGAGTTTGGGGATCGATCAGCCTGGGACAGAGAAGCAGGTCTGTCAGGCAGCTGTGACAGCTTAACTCTCTACTAGGCAGTGCTGGAAAGCTGCAGCGCACTGCCCAGCACACCAAGGAACCACCACCCATTCCAGTCCTCCCCGGACACCCTTATGGACCCGGGAACAGTTCAGCCATGCCCTCGCAGTAGCAAAGGCAGGAGGCATTATAGCCATTCCAAGGAAAGCTCCAGGATGCAGGCTTTACTCTTCCAAATATCACCTAATGCATATGACTAAAGTGACCTAAGCTGATGGCCCAAACAGCCCCTGCAGCTATAACCTTATGGGAAGCATGCACAGCTGTATGTGTAGTATTCACCCAGGGGCTTTCTGTTGGCTGCAGACAGGGCAGTTGGCATGTATAACCTAGTCTTATGCAAGACCAACTTTCTGCCCTTTGCTCACTTCCCCTGTGAGCTGGAGGCTTATAAAGTGAGCTGGAAATGCTCAGTAAGTCGCAGAGAAAGCTGCTCTGAGACAGTTCAGTCACAGCTCCTGAGACGATTCACAAAGGTTTATAGAATCATAGAATGGTT